CCGGATAGTTACAAATTGCACACGTGACTCCCAAAATTTGCACATTAATGAACTCCCTAAATGTACTTGCTGCAAAGTTCTCATCCTGGAACATGAAATTTGAAAGTACCTAGACCTAGACAGTAAAGATCCATAGCAAATTTAAGGACCGTCAGTGAAATTTACTCTAAGTTTTTCCACTATCAATCTAATAGTATTCTATTACATATCATAAATATTTACTACATTTTTGAAATATTTAGTCAAACTCAAAAAAAATTGACTTCTTACGACGCGAGATGTGTATTTATTTTTTGTGACAACAGAGGTTGCGTGAAATAGCCCGTGTCTTATGACCGATGACAGATGGGATATGAGTCAACGCTCGTGCGTCTCCATAGCCAAAAGTCTTGGCCGCGGATCGATCGATGTCCTTGTGTCGATCACTCTCTCTATGGGTCTGTGCGAGGAGTGTGTCCACCTCCGATCCATCGCTCGCATGTCTCCATCGATCCATCACGTGTGTTATTGCGTGTCGTGTCATTTCTAAATTATTAGCCCGTCCGGCCCTTTTTGTTGTCTTACCTTGCGTCGTTGCAGGTTGCATTGCATGTAGTAGTTTTGTGACATTTGTGCAAGCTGGGTGAACCTACCGACCGGCCGGCGGCTTCAATTCGGACTGCAACCATAGGAGTAATGGCATACAATCAGGCCAGGCCACGATCGAGTTTGTTGTACCAGCCTGTAGCACTAGCACAGGCCATATCATATCCACAGAGGTGGAGTGGAGAGTCCTGTTGACTGTTGGAACAGCAACAGCACACATACTAGACTACTACGGAGTAGTCAGCAGGTGGATGCCAAGATGGGTCCCACCCAACCCCATCTCCCGGTGAAGCAGGGTGGGAGCCCTTTCCTTTCCACCTCTTCTCCCCAGCAGGCAAGGCAAGCAGGCAGAGGTGGCGCCGCTACTTGCCGCTCGCAGGCAGTCGCTCCAGTTGCGTTGCGTTGCGTTGCGTTGCGTTGCGCTTGCGCTTCGCCTTCACCTTCGCCTTCGCCTTCTCCTCTCCCCAACCCACCCTCGTCCTGTCCTGTACTACTCGGTCTTCTCCGGTCGCCGCCTCCCCTCCCGCCCGCGATGCCCTTCCTTCCCCGAACCTTCTTCCACATCCACCTCCCTGTCCCCGGCCTTCAAAATCAAAACCAGCCATCCCCCATCCACTACTCCCCTAGCAGGTAGCTATTCCCCTCCCAGCCTCCCTCCCTCCCTCCTGCTTCCCAAGTCAAGTCCGATTCCGATTCCCCCACGCCAAGTAAATAAAAGCTCAGATTTTTCTTTGTTTGTTTCGCCCACCACTGCCGGCAAGCGACAAGCCAACATGTCGCAGGGGACGCCGTACCTGGTGGCCTTGGAGCCCTTCTCGCCCTGCCGCCGACACCGGGGCGCCCTGCCGGCTCCGACGACCCGGACAACTCCGACGACCTCGTCCTCCCCTTCATCTCCCGGATGCTCATGGAGGAGGACATCGCCGACAAGTCCTTCTACCAGTTCCCCGACCACCCCGCGCTCCTCACCGCCCAGCAGCCCTACGCGTAGATCCTCCCCGACTCCGCCGCCACCCTCTTCGTCCGACTCCTCCTCCTATGCCGCCACCAAAACCACCACCACCACAACCAGCAGCGGCGGCTCGGGGACCACCGCCAACTCCACCCTCTCGCCCTCCTCCGACGCCCCTGAGTCCTCCACGGACCCCGCCTCCTGGGCGCACTACAAGGACGCAGTCGACTTCTCCCACCTCCTCCGCTCCCCGACATACCCTGCTGCCAACATCGGGGTCGGCCTCGATGACTTCGCCGAATTCTTGTCGCCAGCACAAGGACAGGATGCCGCCCCCGCGGGATTCCACTTCCACCAGAGTCCGCCGTTCTCGGATGGCGGCGGTGGCAGCGGAGGAGAAGCCTAGCGGCAGCAATCTTCCCTCGCCACCCATAACGCCGTCGCCGCCGGCAAAGCCCAACAACGTCAGCGCAGCATCTAGAGCTCTGCGTTCTCGGATGGCGCGGAAGAGGACGACAACACCAAGGTAGAGGCCACCGCAACCTTTCCTGCTGGCGACGCCGACCACGCCGCGCTGGCCTCGGCCTTCTACGGCGCCCAGAATGGGGGAAACATGGACATGCTCAACATGGCGTTCCGCAAAGGCATGGAGGAGGCCAAGAAGTTCTTGCCTACCAACAACAGCCTTCTCATCGACCTTGACGATACCTCCGGCAAATCCTTGCCTAAAGACACAGACAACAAACCCTCCACTGCCTTTGTTGCTACCCAAGTGAAAAGGAGGAGGAGGAACAGGTGGTGAATGCAATATCTATGTTTGGGGGAAGCAGAAGCGCCAATGGAAGGGGCCGCAAGAACCGCCACGCCGAGGATGATTTGGAGGCAGAGACGGGCAGGCACAACAAGCTGATGACGCCGGAACAGGAGGAAACCGGCACCAATGAGCTGTACGACGAGATTATGACCTGCGACTATGCAGCGTTCATGAAGCGCATGGAGGACCTGCGCATCGCCATGGACAGCGAGTCTGAGAAGAGCACAAGGAAAGGTCAGCAGCAAGGGGGCGCAGGGGAAGCAGAATCTGGTGAACGAGGTCGTCGACCTGCGCACCATGCTCATCCATTGCGCACAGTCGGTGGCCACCGGTGATAGCCGAAGTGCGACCGAGGTGCTGAAGCAGATCAAGCAGCACTCCTCGCCCAGAGGGGACGCCACACAGAGGCTGGCTCATTGTTTCGCCATGGGACTGGAGGCACGGCTTGCAGGCACGGGGAGCCAGGCGTACCAGTCGCTCATGGCACAGCACACCTCGGTCGTGGAATTTCTCAAGGCATACAGGCTGTACACGGCAGCCTGCTGCTTCATGAAGGTGAGATTCATCTTCTCCCACATGACAGTTCGCGATGCCGTGGCAGGGAGGAGCAAGTTGCACATTGTGGAGTATGGTGTGCAGCATAGATTCCAGTATCCAGGTTTGTTCCATCTACTGGCAAGGAGGGAAGGTGGACCACCAGAGGTGAGGGTCACCGCAATTGCCGTCCCACAACCAGGGTTTCGCCCAGCCCACCAGATTGAAGAAACAGGCCGCCGTCTCAGCAACATTGCCCGTGAGATGGGTGTGCCATTCAAGTTCCACGGTATTGCAGTAAAGTGGGAGGCCGTACGTGCTAAGGACCTCAATATTGATCCGGATGAGGTGCTTGTTGTCAACAGTGAGGGCTATATCGGCAATTTGATGGACGAGAGTGTTCTGGTGGACAGCCCGAGCCCTAGGGATACGGTCCAATGTGTTCATCCATACTGTAGTAAATGGAACCTATGGTGCACCGTTCTTTTGGCACGGTTCCGGGAGGCACAATTCGATATGATCGATGCGACCATCCCTAGGGACAATAACGAATGGCTGCTGATCGAGCGGGATATCTTTGGGGCGTTTGCCCTGAATGTGATTGCTTGTGAGGGTGCAGACAGGGTGGAACGGCCTGAAACTTATAAGCAATGGCAGGTGCGAAACCACAGGGCTGGGCTGAGGCAGCTACCATTGAATCCAGAGGTTGTCAAGGCCGTCAGGGACAAGGTCAAGAACTTTTATCATAGAAACTTTCTCGTCGATGAGGATAACCGTTGGTTGCTGTTCGGATGGAAGGGACGTGTGCTCTATGCCATGTCGACACATGGGTTGCTGAGGATAATAAACCCATCTTTTAGTGCCTGAATCCAACTATAAATTATATTGATATTTGATAGACGGTTTATGTTGAACCATGATCCAGCGGTATGTTAATTATGATCCAGCACCTTGTGGTTCAGTGGACTTATGTTTCTAGAGAGCTTAGTGCTGAAACCTTCTTTGAGGTAGAAACAATTAGAGCTACATAGGTTGTAGATATAGTTCTTGATATTTTGCAGAGTTGTAATAATCTACTATGTACAATGTACACTAGAATTAAAACCCTGTAGTTGACAAGTGGTTACCTGTTTGACCTATGACAAGTGATTACCCTGAAAAGTATCTAATGATGCATGATATCCAGCAACCTATGGTTCAGTGGACTTATGTTTCTAAAGGGTTTAGTGCAGAAACTTGCCAGGTAGAAATAAGTAGATGCTTACAGCTACATACGTTGTGGATGTAGTTCTTGATATATTGCAGAGTTGTAATAGTATATACTATGTACACAAAGAATTAAACCCTGTCGCTGACAAGCAATTTTATGGGCTACATGTTTGACCTCATGTTCTTCTTTGAAGGCTTAATAAACCCTGAAAAGTATTCTGCCTTGTGAAGTTCTGTTTCTGCTGTAGCATCAGACTGTTGGCATCTCCTTCACTGCTAGGTGTAAGCAAGCATTGAAGTTGCACTGATTAATCAGAGTATTCCATTTTTCAGTCTCATTCCATTTGGTGACATTCTGAAATGCAAATTCATTTTCCCCACAGTTTTGTGTCACAGGCCTCGGTTTTGCATCATTTCTCTCAATTCAGATAAGGACAGCTAAAAGTAGTCAAAGTATTCAGGATTAAGTTGAGATTGTTTCTGCTGTTCCTTCACAAACACGGACACCGTGGACAAGATCTTGTTGCCGCCATGGTCGCCAGCTCGCCATCCTGGAACCTTCCCCCCGTGTTGCCCCTCCTCGACAGGCTGCTCCTTCAAATTTCCCACCGTCAAAGCTGCGGCCGTCATCCTCACTTGCCTTCCCCACGAAACATAGCACTCTAATAAGCTAGCAGTAGGCTGATTCGCCACGCAAAGCTCCGATTTTAACCGCCGGCGAGCCATGTCCGCCGCGCCGGAGGAGTTCCTAGCACAGGGGGCCTACCTCGCCGCCCCCAAACCCTTCTCCCCCTCCATCTTCCTCGACCTACCCCCGACGCCCCGCCCCGACGGTGATGACCCGACCTTCGAGGCTTCGATGACCCTGCCTCCTCCGACGACCTCGTCCTCCCCTTCATCTCGCGGATGCTCATGGAGGAGGACATCGACGACAAGTTCTTCTACCAGTTCCCCGACCACCGCGCGCTCCTCAGCGCGCAGCAGCCGTACGCACAGATCCTCTCCGATGCCACCGCTGCCTTCTCATCCGACTCCGCCGCTGTCACCAGCTCAAGGACCGGCGGCAACTCCACCCTTTCCTTGTCCTCCTCCGCCCCCGCATCTGCCGACCCCACCTGGCCCTACGACCCAATCGAGCTCTCCCAGCTGTTGCGCTCCCCTCCGTACCCGGACATGGGGGTGGGGCTCGATGACTTCACCGCCGATGAGGTCAACGCCGTCTTCCTGCCGGGACAAGACTCCGCGTTCCAGCCGAATCTGGCCTTCTTGGATACCGCCGGCGGCGGCGGAGGAGGCCAACGGCTGAGCGCTTCCCTCACGGCCCTGAACGCTGGCGGTGGTGGAGCCCAACAGCAGCGCGCTTCCCTCGTTGCCCAGGATGCCGGCGGTGGCGTGGGCATCCAGAGGTCGGAGTGCGCGGAGGAGGAGACGAAGACAGAGGCCACCACCTTGCCTGCCGGTGATGGTGACCATGCTGCGCTGTTCTCGGCCTTCTTCGGTGCCCAGAATGGGGAAAATATGGACATGCTCAATATGGCGTTCCTCAAAGGCATGGAAGAGGCCAAGAAGTTCTTGCCCACCAACAATAGCCTTCTGATCGACCTTGACGGCACCTCTGGCCAATCCTTGCCTACAGAGAGAGACATCAAGCCATCCACTGCCTTTGTTGCTACCCAAGTGAAGGAGGAAGAGGTGGATGGAATATCAATGTTTGGAGGAAGTAGCAATGGCAGGGGCCGCAAGAAACGTTACTCCCAAGAGGACTTGGAAGTGGAGACCGGCAGAAACAACAAACTGATGATGCCTGAACAGGAAGAAACCGGTGCTAGTGAGCTGTTCGACGAATTAATGTCCTGCAAATATGATGGATTCTTGAAACACATGAAGCATTTGCGCATCGCCATGGATAGCGAGTCTCAGAAGAGTGCCAGGAAGGTGAGCACGAATGGGGCGCAGGGGAAGCAGCATGGGAACGCACTACTGAAAAACTATACTTTGCCGAGTGCAAAATATCGTGGCACTCGGCAAAATTAGGCACTCGGCAAATCTGGACTTTGCCGAGTGCCTGGCACTCGGCAAAGCCAGGCGCTCGGCAAAATTTAGCCGGACCGTGACGGCGGCCACCTACCGTCAGATTTTGCTGAGTGCCAGTCATCAGACACTCGGCAAAATTTGTTTTTATTTTTTTAAAAAAAACTTTGCTGAGTGCCATCCTTGGACACTCGGTAATTTTTTTTTATTTTCTGAAAACAAATTTGCCGAGTGCCTCCTGGGCCCGGCACTCGGCAAAGACATTTTTGCTGAGTGCTCCCCATGGCACTCGGCAAAATATATATATATATTTTTTGTTTTGGACCCAAATTTTTTGTGTAGCCTTGTGACAGTATTTAAAGCTCTACTCTAAAATTTGGTGAAATTTTGACTTTTTTAGGTATATTTCATTAATTTATTTCGTTTCGTTGATTTTTTTGGCGTATTTCAAATTTGAACTGCAGGTCCATGGAATAATGGAATTTGGTCATCCAAAAATTGATATTCATGATATTTAGCGTATGTTGAGTCCGTATCCAGGGAGTCACATGAAATCTCGAGCATCTCGTTGACGTAACATGTCGAGTTAGTTGCGGGAAAAGTGAATTTAAATTATATAAAATCCAAACGAAGTCCAAAAATCACGAAACTTGTGGAGGTGTCGTATTATCGCATGTGGAGGTTGTGGTAAAAAATTGATAAGATTTCGAGCAAGTAGTGACGTCGGATGCCAAAAACCCAGACATCTCCACATGTGATCACATCGTTTCACATGTAGAGATGTCTGGGTTTTTGGCATCCGACATCCCACCTTGCTCGAAACCTTCTCAATTTTTTAGCACAGCCTCCACATACGAGAAGTTTCATGATTTTCGGACTTCGTTTGCATTTTATATAATTTAAAATCACATTTCCGGCAAGTACCTCGACATGTTACGTCAACGAGATGCTCGAGATTTCATGTGAGTTCCTGGATACGGCCTAAACATACTCTAAATATCATGAGTATCAATTTTTGGATGACCAAAGTCCATTATTCCATGTACCTGCAGTTCAAATTTGAAATATCTCGAAAAATTCGACGCAACGAAATAAACTAATGAAATATATAAAAAAAAGTCAAAATTGCCCCAAATTTTAAAAGAGTTTGAAATACTGTCACGAGGCCCCAGAAAAAATTTTGGGCCCAAAATCAAAAAAAAAGTTTGCCGAGTGCCATGGGGGGCACTCGGCAAAGTTGATTTTCAAAAAAACAAAATTGCCAAGTGCCTGGGCGCTGGCACTCGGCAAAATAAGTTTTAAAAAATTAAAAAAAAAATTGCCGAGTGCCCAAGGCTTACACTCGGCAAAATATGTTTAAAAAAAATTTGCCGAGTGCCTGGGGCTGGCACTCGGCAAAATAAGTTTTTAAAAATAAAAAAAAAATTTTGCCGAGTGTCGGCCCTGAGGGCACTCAGCAAAGTTGATTTTCAAAAAAAAATTGCCCTAAAAGCCCACCCCAACCCCGCGCGGCCCAACCCTCACGCCCCCAGCCACGCCCGCTCCCCCGCGCCCACCCCAGCCGCCGCCGCGCCCACCCCCGCCGCTGCCGCGCCCTCGCCGGCGAGCCCCGCCCTCGCGCCCGCGCCCGTCGCCGCCTCCAGGTCCGTCACCCGCCTCCAAGAACGGCGCCACCACCGTCGCTGCCTCCAAGAACGGCCTCTCAAGCGCGCGTGCGCAGTGCGCTACCCTCAGGCGCACGCGGCGCAGCAGCTGCCGGTGCCCTCAGCTGTCCCACGCGTGGCCCCCTTTCTGATGCCGCGGTCGCACGGAAGAAGGCGGAGGTGCGACATCCCGAGCCCTCGCGGCGCAGCTGGCCTGAGCTCATGGCCGCCGGGACGAGCGGAGCCCTTCGTTGGTGAGATTTTCTAATCTTGTCATTAGGATTAGGGTTTCTGGAGAGAAATTGAGGATTTACCCTTGGTTTTTGGCTTTGGTTTCTCTGTTGGAAAACCTGAGCATATTTCCATTCCATTGTTATTTTGTATTTTTTGCTGACTATATTTCGGTGCCAATGATGCTGCAAACAAGTGTCTTTTTTTTCTTCTCAAATATGGTATATGAGAACAGCCATGATTATTACTCTTTTATCATCGTTTCATTCTCATCTGATCTGCATTTGAAGTGAGGCCTCAACATATGTTATGGCTAATACTCGGTCTTTTATGATATTGCTATTCCAAGTTTATTGAATTGATGCAATTGGCAAATGGAGTGACACAAACCATTACATAAATATTGTCCTTTATGTTATTCTTAGTAAACTGAGGCACTTGGCATATGCAATGATGACCTACTTTTCCTAGCCTACAATCCAATCTTATTTCCTGCACTTGACTGCTAACTGGAAAAAATGTTGCTGTCCGGGCTTTATGTTTTTCTTCAACTGTGTTATACTATGCTCTTATCCTCCAAAAAAAAACTTGTTTCTGGTATCTTGTGATGTAACCAATCCCCTGTTTTTAGTCTAACACATGCAATCTCTTCTCTTTTGTGCAGCCTCCGTCGGCGGGTTCAAACAATCCCGCTACCGTGTCACCGGCGGCTGATTGCGTCAACCCTTCGCCGCAGTCCGGTCCTTCACCGCAGTTCGGGGGGGGCACACCTGCAGTCTCCGTCGCCGCAGTAGGGATGTTGAATTTTATGATGTTGAACTTGTAATAATAAACTTGTGATGTTGAACTTTGGTGCATTTGTGATGGATTTTCGATGAATTTATTAAATATGCGTGTGCTTGGGATATATAATGCATGTTGTTGATATAGATGTGATGATTGATGTATATATATATATATATTGTCTGTTACAATGAAATATAAAATTTTTTTTGCAATTCTTGGGGTCTTTGCCGAGTGCCATGGGCAAGGCACTCGGCAAAGATTTTTCAAAAAAAAAAATATAGAATTTCTTTGCCGAGTGCCTCGCCGCGGCACTCGGCAAAGTATTTTTTTTAAAAAAAATTCAGAAATTCTTTGCCGAGTACCTAAACAGGGGCACTCGGCAAAGAAATTATTTAAAAAAAATAAAAAAAACTTTGCCGAGTACCTGGGCAGGGGCACTCGGCAAAGTAATTTTTTTAAAAAAATAAAACAAAACTTTGCCGAGTGCCTGGGCAGGGGCACTCGGCAAAGTACTTTTTTAAAAAAAAAACTTTGCCGATTGCCTGGACTGGAGCACTCGGCAAAGTAATTTTAAAAAAAAATAATTTTTTTTTCCGAGTGCTGGTCGGGCACTCGGCAAAATAACCGTTAACGGCCGGCGCCGCAACGGCCGAAAATATTTTGCCGAGTGCCGCCCCAAGCACTCGGCAAATTTTTTTGTATTTTGCCGAGTGCCCCGATAAAAAGCACTCGGCAAAGACCCTTTGCCGAGAAAAATTTTGCCGAGCGGACTTTGCCGAGTGCTACACTCGGCAAAGCCTTTGCCGAGTGCAAAGGGCTCTTTGCCGAGTGTAAAAACACTCGGCAAAGCCGCGGCCTCCAGTAGTGACGAGTTTGTTGACCTGCACACCATGCTCATCCATTTCACACAGGCAATGGCCACAGGTGATCGCCGAAGTGCAACCGAGATGCTGAAACAGATCAAGTAGCACTCCTCTTTTAGAGGGGATGCCACACAGAGGTTGGCCTATTGTTTTGCAGAAGGACTAGAGGCCCGACTTGCTGGCACAGGGAGCCAGGTGTACCAGTCGCTCGTGGCAAAACGCACATCGGTTGTGGAGTTCCTCAAGGCATACAAGCTATTCTTGGCAGCCGTCAGCCTCAATACGGTGCATATCATCTTCCCCAACAGGAACATCGTGGATGCCGTGGCAGGGAGGAGCAAGTTGCACATTGTGGCATATGGTGTACAGTATGGTTTACAGTGGCCAGGCTTGCTACATCTCCTTGCAGGCAGAGAAGGTGAACCTCCAGAGGTGAGGTTCACTGGCATTGACCTTCCGCAACCTGGGTTCCGCCCAGCGTACCAGATTGAACAAACAGGCCGCCGGCTTAGCAACTGTGCCCGTGCATTTGGCGTGCCATTCAAATTCCATGCTATAGCAGCAAAGTGGGAGACGATCTGTGCTGAGGACCTCAACATTGATCCAGATGAGGTGCTTGTTGTGAACAGCGAGTGCCACTTCAGCAACTTGATGGATGAGACTGTTGACGTTGACACCCCAAGCCCCAGAGATTTGGTGCTCAACAACATTCGAAAGATGCGACCCAATATTTTCATCCAGATTGTCAATAATGGCACATATGGTGCTCCATTCTTCCTCACACGGTTCCGGGAGGCACTGTTCTACTACTCAGCACTATTTGACATGCTGATGCAACCATTCCCCGGGATAATGATGAACGGCTGCTGATCGAGCGGGATATTGTTGGGCGATGTGCCCTAAATGTTATTGCTTGTGAGGGTGCAGACAGGTTGGATCGCTCTGAGACTTATAAGCAATGGTAGGTGCGGAACCACCGGGTTGGGCTCAAGCAGCTACCGTTAAATCCAGAGGTTGTAAAGCTTGCGAGGGTTAAGGTCAAGAACTATTACCACAAAGACTTTCTCATCGATGAGGATCATCAATGGTTGTTGCAGGGATGGAAAGGGCGGGTCCTCTTTGCCATGTCAACATGGGTTGCTGAGGATAATAACTCCATCTTTTAGCTGCTTCACTTCGCCTTGTTTTGGATTATGAATGATATTGATGCTTGATAGATGGTCTGTCTTTATTTTACCACCAAACTATGGCCCAGCATCTGTGGCCTAGAGGGTTTTAGTGCTGAAACTTTGTAAGCTAGAAATAAGTAGAACAATAGATGCTTAGAGGCTTGGAGCTACATAGGATGTAGATATAGTTCTGGATATGTTGCAGAATTGTGATGTGTACACCACCTGTAACTGATAAGCAATTTTATTGATTACTTATTCGACTTTTTATCTGTCTCTTCCAGTTCTGTTTCTTCTGTATCACTAGACTGTTGGCATTTCCCTTGTGTCTAGGCGTGATTATCAAAGTTGCTCTGTTTACTCAAAGTATTCTATTTGGCTCGATATCTTCCATCATTTTCTCATCCAGACAAGTACAGCTAAAAGTGTTCACTAGATTCGGGATTATGTGATGTTTCTGCAATATGGGAAGAGTCAGGCTTTAGATCAGCTCGAGGATGCATTCAAATTTATGCATCTAACAGTTATAATGGTTTTTGTGGTGTTTGTAATGATCCTTTATCATATATTAGCAATAAATAAAGATCGTCTGCAGCAAATCTGCTAGGACTCTACTATACCGATCTTCCATAAAGCTACAGTTGCCTTGGATAAACTTACTGTTCAAAGTCTGATGCTTCTTGTTTGCACTAGTCATTTCTTGCACTATGTTTTTCCTTATACAATATTTTTGCCTGTTTGTTCAATCTCATAGGCTGAGCATTTGTGGTTCTATGTCTTGTTTATTTCTTTTACAGGTTTGGAGCACTAAAAATTTGGTTCATCTATGCATGTGTGGAACAGGGGAGATCACCTGACCAAACCTGGACAAGTTGATTATGACTGGCTGACATTGGGACAATTGAAGCAGGTAAAGATTAGTCTGTCTTTTGTTCTGTTCATCCATATTACTATATTATGCATATACAACAAGAGTCGCAAATTCAGTGTGTCATAGGGAGTACAGTTTCGACTGAATATTCAGCATCATTTTCTCGTCCAGACAGGTCACAGGTATTGTAATTAAGTGTATTATATTCCCAGCTGACCATAGTTAAAATTTCTGCTGTGTATTCTCCTCCAAAAGAAAGAAAGAACCTTTTTTGGCCAAGACTGGTACATGTTTGCATGTATTCTGCTGTGTATTTGATAGAACCTTTTTTGGCCAAGACTGGTACCTGTTTGCATGTATTCTGCTGTGTATTTGATACTGCAGGGTTTGGTCAAGCAAAAGAAAAAAAAAGTTTTTCTGCTGTACACGACAAGACAGAGACTACTCCTACCTAGTACTCCGTATGTTAGGCTGTCTCTAACAGGAGACCTATTGCAGAACCCAAACCCAAAATAAGTATTCAACATGATACCTATAGTCTTCAATAGAGTACCTATGAAAGACTCAATTTTGGGTGTCAGGAGAGACATAATCCAAATCTGAGTATCCCCTCTACTGAAGACATATTTGCAGAAAGGGTTTTTTTTTTTGGTTTTGTTGTTGGAGAAGACAAAAAAATAGATATTGAACCTTTTGCCTGTAGCGTTACCTAAAGAACGAATGATTATTGTACTTTGGGTCACGGTTGTTGACAGTTTAGCACTTAACAGCAGGTGTTTGATCATTTTTTTATCCAAAATGCAGCAGGTGTACCCTGGACTTTTTTTTTATCAAGCACTGTTAGGACTCTCGGTGAGCCGCCACCACTGTAGCATTCGTCTTCTCCGAACTTTCCTTCGTTGATTGACTACTAGTGCCGCTCCTATCCTTCTGGATGGCGAAGAGAAACCAAAAAGCTTGAACTTTCATCCACCCACACTCTAAACAAAGCATCGCCGTTCTTGGACTTTTATCTCACCAGCAGCCATGGCCGCCGCGCCGGAGGGCGAGGGCCTCTTCGCTGACCCCGAGCCCTTCTCCCCGTCCATCTTCCTCGACCTGCCCCCGACGCCCCGCCCCGATGGCAACGGCGAGGTCCCGGCCTCGTCGGATGACCTCGTCCTCACCTTCATCACGCGGATCCTCATGGAGGAGGACATCAACGACCAATTCTTCTACCAGTTCCCCGACCACCCCGTGCTCCTCCAAGCCCAGGAACCGTACGCGCAGATCCTCTCTGACGCTGCCACGGCTCGCACCAACAGCGCCGCCTCGGTCTCCCCCGCCACCGTCTCGCCGTCCTCGGTCTCCAAGCCCAGGAACCGTACAGTTGTGATGACTTGGAGGCTGAGACGTGCAGGAAGAGCAAGCTGATGGTGCCCGAGCCTGAGGAAACTGGCGAGATGGTCGATCAAATGATTTTCAATGGAATGGAATTGTGCCTCAAAGAAGGCCCTGCGAATCACTATGGGCAGCGAGGAATTGTGCTAAGAAGAACACCATGAAGGGCAGAGGGAAGTCGGCACAGGGAAGGTCCAGCGCCAACGAGGCAGTGGAGTTGAGCACCTTGCTCATCCACTGTGCACAGGCCGTGGCCACGGACAACCGCCGGAGTGCGACCGAATTGCTTAGACAGATCAAGCAGCATTCGTCACCGAAGGGTGATGCCACACAGAGGTTGGCACATTGTTTTGCAGAGGGATTGGAGGCGCGGCTGGCAGGGTCAGGGAGCCAGCTCTACAGGTCTCTCATGGCTGAGCGCATCCCGGTCGTGGAGTACCTCAAGGCCTACTGGTTGTACCTGGCAGCATGCTGTTTCAAAATGACGGCATTCAGGTTCTCCAACATGACAATCCTCAAGGCCATCGTGGGGAGGAAAAAGGTTCACATCGTGGATTACGGCGTGAATTGTGGGGTTCAGTGGCCAACTTTGCTATACCGTTTGGCGACCTTGGAGGCTGGGCCTCCTGAAGTGAGAATCACCGGCATTGATCTCCCCCAGCCCGGCTTCCGCCCAGCCCGGCGTGAATTATGCTCGTCAGCTCGGTGTGCCATTCAAGTTCCACGGCATCACGGTGAGGTGGGACACAGTTTGTGTTGATGACCTGAACATTGACCCTGATGAGGTACTCATTGTCAACAGTATCATGCTGTTTAGAAATTTGATGGACGAGGGGGTCGACATTGATAGCCCAAGCCCTAGGGATGTTGTCCTCAGAACCATTCGCAAGATGCAACCTGATGCGTTCATCCTTTATGTCATGAATGCCTCGTATAGTGCTCCATTCTTTGTAACACGTTTCCGGGATGTGCTGTTCTTTTACTCTGCAATGTTTGACATGCTGGATGCCACGGCTCCACGGGATAGTCACCAGCGCTTTTTGGTTGAGCGGGATCTCTTTAGGCAGTGTAGCCTCAATGCTGTTGCCTGTGAGGGCACGGACAGGGTGGAGCGCCCGGAGACATATAAGCAATGGCAGGTGCGGAACCAACGGGCAGGGCTAAGGCAACTTCCATTGGATCCAGATATTGTAAAGACATTGAGGGACAAAGTTAGGGATCAGTATCACAAAGACTTTGTCATTGATACGGATCATAACTGGCTCCTGCAAGGATGGAAAGGACGCATACTCTATGCCATGTCGACATGGGTTGTAGATGATTCTGTCTCAGAACTTTAGCTGCTTTTCTCACCACATACAGCAATATCGATAATTGCAACTATACATATGTTTCTGAATTTTTGTCTTGCCAATGAACTTCATGAGCTGCTCAGCAGCTGTGGTTCAACACGCTTTCTTACCCACCACCTTGCTTGTCTAGAAGGGTGGAAGGTACGCATACTCTGTGCCATGTCAACATGAGTTTCAGAATTCAGATGATGCTATCTCAGGATATTAATGGCTTTTCATCACAAGATACGGAGATATATGCCTCTGTTTTATGTGATTCAACACACTTTATTTGAAGATGCTTGGACATAAGCAGTAGATGCATTATAATGTCTTCTATCTAATAATGTAATAGTAGATGTTTATTTGGGTGTTCTTGATGCTTCTTATAGATGCATAGGATCTTAGATTAGTTCTCAGTGTGTTGATACTGAACCTGTGTAAATGTACAACAAACTGAAAAACCACTTGTGGTACCTGTATTGTGAAGTCCACTTTCTGTTGTAACATTGTATTCCATTGCACCAGGAAAGAGTAAATGGGCACGAGATTAAGCATTAAAATTGCACATATTGTTCTGTTATTCAGAGTATTGATTTTTGCTTCTTTGTTTTTTGGTGATTGTTTCAAATGCAAATTTATTGGTACCATACTTTCCCCATTTTCTACCTAGTTTCAAATTTTTGGGGACAGTTTCCGCTGAATATTTTTCTTAATTCTTTCATTCAGAGTACAGTTGAAAGAGGTGTTTGTGTTTTTTTTTGGGGGATCAAACTATGGCAGGCTTATGCCACCTACCTGACTGATTCTTTTGTTCAAAGTGTCAGGAGTGCCCGAGCACACCTCTGCTGGATGGCATCTGCTTATATGTGATGATACATAGTATGACAATTGTGATAGTTTCTGAACAAAGATGGACACCTTATGGTTATCGTAAGTTTGCAATGATCCTTTATCATTATAATTTCTTCACAGTAGTACTGAGTCACTGGCGATGGTCCTATGACAGAGGAAGAGGCCCACAATTGCACATCTGTAAATTGGCTGTCAAGTTAATTTAGTACGATTCTCTACCTATTGGGGTTCTCATATGAACCTTGAACTTTAGGCATCAGAGTAGCAGTGTTTGCAATATTGATACTGAGTTACTGGCTTACTGGTGCGTAGAATGCTGAACCTGCTAGGATTCCTGTAAGACTTTTGAGCTTTTGATCAAACTAGAGTAACATGGACAAACTTCAGATCAGAGATGTCTTTTGGTTGCCTCAGTCATTTCTCACTATGTTTTCTTAAGACTATTTCTTCCTCTATCGAGTGTTCTAGCATAGAGAATCGTATCTGTTTTTTGGAGGGTGTAATGAGCTCACTCTATGCATCTCTTACATGTTTATTCATTTACTTTTCAGGTTTTGTACAGTAATGGTTTTGTTCAAGAGACCATGTTTGGAGCAGGGTATGAACACCTGAGGAAAGGTGGACAGTCTGATTATTAGAGGCTGGCATATGCAGATCTAAAGCAGGTGCAACTTGGTCTGCCTTTTGCTCTGTCCATCCACTTTATAAATTATTCCACCTTTCTGATGCATGTTCAGCATGAGCAAATTCAGAATATTGTCATGCCAGGTGACAGAGACAGACCACTAATCATGTATTAGGTGCAGTGCATTGTGTGTTTGCTTCGTTCTAGTAGTAAGAAAATAAATAAATAAAATTGTAGGAAGCCATTACTCTGTTTCAATGTAGCAGCCTAGCAGGTGCCTGATACTGCAGCCTGGCACAAGAAGACTGTTTGTTTGCATACACATGGAGAATTGGAGACAAGGATGTGCTGTTTACCTCATGGGCATTTCGTCGAATACCACATGGGCCCTATCGTGTTAACATCCAGTCTGTAGTCCAAGATGGTGGTGGGTGCTGCTGGAGAACCTTAACGCCGATGTAGGTGGCCAGGTACTCCCTCGTCGAAGCTCCGTCGCACACCACACACAGGGGGAACGTCCTCTACGGCTGTACCTTGGCTCCTTGGACGCGCCGTGGACACCAACGCGGCATATAGCTGCGGCATTGAGAAGCGTCGTCCCCGAGCCAGGAAAGGTGGCAACGAGATCCACCCGTGCCGATGGCCACGCGCACCTAGTGCACGCCTTTCTCGGTGTCTTCGTGGACTCTCGCTGTCTCACCCTGCCTGGCGGCGGCGGCGGAGCTCAAGACGCTGCCAGCGCGCGTAAGCGCGGCGGGGCGCAGGGGAAGATCAAGAGGAGGTCACGCACGCCGGGCGGTAGCACCCGCCATTTTGGACGCCGCGGAGGAGGTGAGGGCGAGGCTGCGCCGAGGCAATGGGAAGGGAGTCGGAGCCGTTGGACGAGCCGGGTGGCCGCAGATCGCCGCGTTCGCGCCGCGCCGCCCGCTCTGGTGGCTGGAGCCGCCACTCCGGGCAGTGGGGGCCCCCACCAGCGCCGGGATGGCCGGGACCGAGCATCCGGGGCCTCAGCGCTGCGCCGGGATGTCTCGCTGGTTGCAGGCGCCCGTGCCGCCGCCGCCGACGGATGAGCCCAAGAAGGTTCCCGAGGTTTCGGGTTTACAACGAAACGGGTACAGACCAAACTGATCCGCAATCGATCGGCCACCATCGCAAGTTCGCCAGATCGAACGGCCTGTGGCTTAACAGGCGACGTGGCACGATGGTTAGCCCGCTTTTGGAAGCAGGATTAGTATATAGAGATTCAGAGTAGTGATTTCTGCTGCTTTATTTTTTGGTGATTGTTTCAAATGCAAACTTACTGATACCATACTTTTCCCATTTTCTTTTTTTTGAAAGAAACTTTTCCCATTTTCTACCTAGTTTCAAATTCCTGGGGACGGTTTCTGCTGAATATTTTCTGAATTCTTTCATTCAAAGTACAGTTGAAAGAGGTGTTTCTTTCTTTTTATTTTGGGGATCAAACTATGGCAGGCTTATTCAGCATATCTGACTGATTCCTTTGCTCAAAGCATAGGGAGTACAAATGATATAGCAGCATGCACAGACACAAGGGCCTTGCAAAGAAACTGTTTCTGCAATTTCAGGAGAGGTGCTGGATGGCATCTGCTTATATGTTTTTGAAGACTTCACCGGAGGGGGGAGAGTCCCACCTGAATGATTTTCCATAGATTCCGGCAAGCCGGTAAATGGAGGGTGCCAGGCACCTAGAGTTTACATGGTCTCAATCGTACAGGGCATTAATTCATGACAAATAAATTACACCAATGATCAGCAATTGAACGGTCTTGGGAACGAAGGCGGCTGCTCCATAGGCGACATGTTTCCCTGCAATTTATTGTCAGAGGCGGCTCAAACAGGGTTGCTGATGGCGAAAAGACGACGTCGTGGCGATGGTTCCAAATCTGCCAACAACACGAGTAGTATCATCATCGAGAAGTGCTTAGCCGGGATATGTGGTGGCCGTGGCATCTCCCATAGGTGAGTTGGCTCCGAAGGTTGACCCCATCCAATAATAATATGATTCCGAGTAAAGTCAAGGAACCAGCAGCGAAAGATGAGGTGATCGGCGCCTCTACGCCGCATTACCACAAAGTTGGCAAATGTCGTCGTCGAGGACATGCTTGAGGTGGAGGTTGTAACGTCACTGTATGCGGTTGTTTACCAATAACCAGCCGAAAAAACGTACCCTGGGGGGCGCTCGGTTTCTCCAAACGAAGCTAGAGACATTGCACGGGGAGCCCATGGTCTTGGATGCCTGATACACGGCTGAAGCATGGAGAGTTCCCAGCTGGCCGGCAAATTTAGAATATCTGCTGTCCGGAGCTTGTGTTCAAGTGATGTTGCTAATCATTTCATTGAGGGCATGCAGCTCTTCACTTGCTTGGGGTGACAGCTCTGAGACCAACATCGGTTGCAAACCGATGGTGAGGACCTCGAGGCGAGGCATCCGGCTTCGTGCAATGGGAGAAAAGGCGGGGAAGACAGAGGCGAGAGGTGAACCATCAAACCAAGAGTCATGCCACAAGGACGTAGTCTGCCCGTCGCCCACCGCACCTTGGTGATACACACCGGTGGCTGGTAGCAAGGATCTGAGGGCCGACGATGGATCGCCATCACCATGGTCGGACATGTTGAGGATGTCTTTGTGCTCTCACCCAAGCAGCCCAAGCCGACTGCTCGGGATGGTGAAGACGGTGGAGAAGCTTCAAAAGGAGGCAAGCATTTTGAGTGGCAAGGTCCTTTACCCGAGGCCTCCTTCAAGGAAGGCCACTGAACATCGTCCCACTTGACCAGGCATTTTGCACCGGATGTCTTATCTTTGTCGGACCAAAGGAAAGCTCGCCGTCTGCTATCAATGGCCGAGATGATTCCCGGGGGCAGCGTGAGAGCCTGCATCATATAGGTGGCTAGACCGTCTAGAACTGAGTTGATGAGAACAAGTCTGCTTTGGTGGTTGAGCAGCGCAGCCTGCCACCCAGAGAGCCGCCGGTCGACCTTGGAGATCAAGGGCGCGAAGGTGGCGAGGTTAAGCTTGACATTTGAGAGTGGTAAGCCAAGGTACACCTGAGGAAAGCTTGCTTGCTGGCACTGGAGGAGCCGGACGATCCGTTCCAAGCGGTCTTGCGGTACGTGCATAGGCACAAGCGTGCTCTTGGAGTAATTGATCTTGAGACCAGTGGCCATGGCAAAGCTATCCAAAGTAACTTTGAGTCTCCGGATGTCTACTATTTCCACTTGCACCAGTAGGAGGGTGTCATCGGCGTACTGCAACACTGGGCAGGGGCCATCTACAGTAGGGTGTCTGATGTTGGAATGCTTAATGAGTCGTTGAAGAACATCAGCTACCAACACGAACAGATACGGTGAAAGAGCATCCCCCTGTCTCAAACCTCTCTTGCAGGTAATCCAATTCCCCGGGCAGCCATTGATCAAAACAGCTGAGTGAGATGAAGAGAACAACATTTGCATCCATTGTAGCCATCTATCTGGGAAAGCTCTGGCAGCCAGGATTTTTATAGTACTGTCCCATGAGACAGAGTCAAAAGCTTTTGCAAAGTCTAACTTGAGTACCACTGTCGGGATTTTGTTGCGGTGGCAGTGCTGAACTAGTTCGGTGGCATACACAAAGTTTTCTGAGATGGAACGGCCCCTAATAAAACTAGTCTGGTCGATATCAATGAGTTTCTGGATGTGTCTCTGCAGCCTTGTTGTGAGAATTTTGGTAATAATCTTGACTGGGCAGTTTTGTAGAGATACTGGCCGGAAATCTTTTGGTGAAGAGGCACCTGGGCACTTAGGCAGCAGAACAATATGCGCTCTATTGATACGGTGGAGGTCAGCTGTGTAATTATAGAAGCTGGAGAGAAATGCCATTATGTCATCCTTAATTGAGGACCATGCAGAAGAGTACCAAGCAGGACCAAAACCATCCGGGCCACCTTATGGTCATCGTAAGTTTGCAATGATCCTTTATCATTATAATTTCTTCACAGTAGTACTGGGTCACCGGCGATGGTCCTATGACAGAGGAAGAGGCCCACAATTGCACATCTGTAAATTGGCTGTCAGTTAATTTAGTACGATTCTCTACCTATTGGGATTCACATATGAACCTTGAACTTTAGGCATCAGAGTAGCAGTGTTTGCAATATTGATTCTGAGTTACTGGCTTACTGGTGCGTAGAATGCTGAACCTGCTAGGATTCCTGTAAGACTTTTGAGCTTTTGATCAAACTAGAGTAACATGGACAAACTTCAGATCAGAGATGTCTTTTGGTTGCCTCAGTCATTTCTCACTATGTTTTCTTAAGACTATTTCTTCCTCTATCGAGTGTTCTAGCATAGAGAATCGTATCTTTTTTGGAGGGTGTAATGAGCTCACTCTATGCATCTCTTACATGTTTATTCATTTACTTTTCAGGTTTTGTACAGTAATGGTTTTGTTCAAGAGTCCATGTTTGGAGCAGGGTATGAACACCTGAGGAAAGGTTGGCAGTCTGATTATTAGAGGCTGGCATATGCAGATCTGAAGCAGGTGCAATTTGGTCTGTCTTTTGCTCTATCCATCCACTTTATAAATTATTCCACCTTTCTTATGCATGTTCAGCGTGAACAAATTCAGCATATTGTCATGCCAGGTGACAGAGACAGACCACTAATCATGTATTAGGTGCAGTGCATTGTGTGTTTGCTTCGTTCTAGTAGTAAGAAAATAAATAAATAAAATTGTAGGAAGCCATTACTCTGTTTCAATGTAGCAGCCTAGCAGGTGCCTGATACTGCAGCCTGGCACAAGAAGACTGTTTGTTTGCAAATTGGCGTCTCCGGAGGGTCCACGGACGGGAGAAGACAAAACAAGAGTCGCAGCAGACTTCTCCATCACAGCTGCGTTTGGCCTCATCTCGGAGCCGCCGAGGTCGCATCAGAATTTTTCAGAACGAACTTCTCGGCCCTTCCCAGCTTTTCCCTCTCAAAAAAAAAGAAAGAAAAGGAAAAAAAATTCTTTTTTATCCACCCACCAGCAGTCCACCCCAACGGCAACCCCTTCCATTTTTTTACTATCCCACCCGACTACCCAGCCTGACAGCCATGGCCGCCTCGCCGGAGGATTTCGTGGCTGACCCTGCTGAGCCCTTCTCCCCCTCCATCTTCCTCAACCTGCCCCCGATGCCCCGCCCCAACGTCAATGGCGAGGGCAAGAACCAGGCCTCCGACGACCTCGTGTTCCCCTTCATCGAGCGCATGCTCATGGAGGAGGGGATCGGCGACGAGTTCTTCTACCAGTACCCGGACCACCCCGCGCTCCAGCAAGCCCAGGAATCGTACACGCGGGTCCTCTCCGACGCCACCGCGGATTCGTCTTCGGACGGCAGCCCCACCATGTCGGTGTCCTCCGGCTCCGATGCGGGAGTGGGGGCCGACGACCTCACCACGGACGCCAGCACCACGTCGGAGCAATTTGGGGATGCTGGCGTCCGGAGTGACGAGAGTCCGGCGCGATTGGGGGATGCTGGCGTCCGGAGTGACACCGCCGCCGAGGAGGAGATGGAGAAAAATGCCAACCGCACCATGCTTGTAGTCGTAGATGGTGACCACGCCGCGCTGTCCTCGGCATTCTTCAGTGCCCAGCAGGATTGGGGAAGCAAGGCCATGTTCCTCAAGGGCATGGAAGAGGCCAACAAGTTCCTGCCTAGAGACATCGACCTGCTGCGTGGCTCTGCCACCGTCCTCCAAGTGAAGGAAGAGGCAAGTGCCAATTGTAGGGGCAGCAAGAACCGGCATGAGAGTGGAAGAATGATCAACCGCACTTTGTATTGATCTTTGGTGTACAATATATACACGTACATGTGAGCCTTGGCTCAACGGACTCTCCTACAAAGCTGCTACGCGAGCCAGCGGCAGAGCGAGTACATGCGGAGCGTTGGCGAGCGTTGCGGATCGCGTGGTGACCGTGTCCATCGGATCGCGTCAACCGCGTCCAGCGATTACAAACGTGCAGACTAATCCGCTAACACCCCCCCTCAGTCGCTGCTGTAGGTTTGCCAACGCAGAGGCTGTCTCGGAAGTCGTTGAAGAGCGAATACGGCAAGCCCTTTGTGAAGATGTCCGCGAACTGGCGCGCGCTCGGTATATGAAGAACACGGAGCTCACCGAGTGCAACCTTCTCTCTGACGAAATGAACGTCGAGCTCGATGTGTTTGGTCCGACGATGATGAACTGGATTTCGCGCCATGTACACCGAAGAAACGTTTTCGCAGTACGCGATCGTGGCGCCCTTGATGTGGCAGTGCAGCTCGCCGAGAAGCTGTCGTAGCCACGAACACTCGGCGATGGCATTGGCGACACCACGGTACTCGGCCTCTGCGCTGGAACGCGACACCGCCGCTGCCTGTTTTTGGAGCTCGAGAGCGAGAGAATCGCCAGAACACCGCAAAAGCCCGGCGTGGGCGCCGTGTGTCCGGGCACCTGCCCGATCCGCGTCGATGTCGCCGTGAGCTTGAGCGATGCTGCGGAAGAAGAAGAGCGGAGCCCGAGACTCGTAGTTCCCTTGACGTGGCGTGAGGATTCGCCCGCTTCAAAGCGCGTCGATGGGCGTCGCGTGGCACATGCATGTGCAAGCACACTTGCTTGCACGCGCATAGGCGATGTCCGGACACGTTAAGCGTGAGGTAATCGGCGCGGCCCGCCATGCTTCTGTACCAGGACGCGTCGTTGATGAGATTGCCGTCGGTGTCGGACATTTTTGGACGAACATCGGCTGGTGTCCCGGCAGCCTTGTAGTTGCTCATGCCAGCTCGTTCGAGGATCTCCTTGGCGTATTTCTCCTATGAAAGGAAGAAGCTGCCTTCATCGTGTTGAACGTCGATGTCGAGGAAGAACCGTAGTGGTCCCAAGTCCTTGATGGCGAACTCGAGCTTGAGCTTGGCGATGATATGCTGAAGAAGGCGCGAGGACGAGGCCGACAAGATCATGTCGTCGACATAGAGGAGGAGATACGTTGTGACGCGCGCCATGGGCGAAGAACGAAGAGGGAGCTATCGGCGCAAGATTGCACGGCCGAGGCCGGTGACGTCGCGACGAAGCGAAGGAACCATTGGCGCGAGCTTGACGAAGACCGTAGAGTGAACGCGAGAGCGGCAGCACACGGTGTTCGGTCATTCGGTGCTCGAAGCCGGTCGGTGGTGGTAGTACACCATTTCCTGCAGTTCCCATGCGAGAACGCATTGAGAGACGCCCACGGTGATGGGCCGCCAACGCTGGGACGCCACCAAAGGTGAGTACCGCCCCGATCGTCGGTGGCTTGACGATCGGCGAAGGTTTCGCCAAGTCGATCCCGGGCGTTGGTTGAAGCCGCGTCGACCCACACTTGCCTTGTACCGGTCTCACGGTGCCGTCGGGTTCCACTTGTGCTTGAAGACCCATTTGCCGCGGTGATGATCCGGCACCGGCGCGGCGGTCTTGGAGCGTCCACGTGTTGTTTGCTTGGAGCGCTTGAACTCGAGCTGCATTGTGGCACGCCAGGTTGGGGTCGCGCGATGTCGCCCGAATCGACGATGGAATGGGTGACGTTACTACGGACTACGTCTGCAAAGACGTGCATTGGGGTTGGGCTTGAACACGCCGCCTTTGCCCGTGTGACCATATGGTGGCGAGTCTTTGGTGAGGCTGATGAAGCGAGGCGGAGATGAAGCCTGTGTGGCTGCGACGTTCGATCGCGAGGATGATGCCGCGCCAGCGAACCAGCGACATCGTGTCTTCTGGGATGACGGCGAAGCTCGAGGAAGTGCCGCATCGGTGCGGACTGCCGATGTCGGAGTACGCGGTGGTGCGGAGGACGTCGATGATGCCGTGTTGTCGACGGTCACCGATCGCAGCGCCGGGTGAGCCCGCGTCTTGGTGCTGCGTCGGATGTGGGGAAGCGCAGAGGTGAGCACCGGTGCCGCCGTACAGGCGTTCGCTATGCCGCACGGGACGCCGACGTGGTAGATGGTCGCCGAGCACGACGTCGCTCCTGGGTGTTGCAGGGGATTCCTGGACTGCGCGGAACGGGAAGACCTGTTCATCAAAGACAACGTGACGCGAGGTGATCACCCGGTGCGTCACGACGTCGTAGCAGCGATAGCCACGGTGGTCGGCGGGGTAGCCGATGAATACGCAGAGCGCGGAGCGGGCGTCGAGCTTGTGGTTCGTGGTGGCTGTTAGGTTGAGGAAGCAGCAACATCCAAACACACGAAGCTCGTCATAGGTCGGTTCGACGCCGAAGAGGAGGGCGAATGGTGTAGTGGTGCCAGTGGCGCGACATGGCAGTGCCTCTGCCCAGAACGCCAGGGGAGCTGCAGTATGAAGAAGCATTGTTCGAACACAATCATTAAGAGTGCGGAGCACCCGCTCGGCTTTCCCATTCTGCTGTGAGGTATAGGGACAAGAAGGCGAAATTGTATGCCATGTTCCGTGAGAAGGAGCCGAGAAGCAGTAGAATCAAACTCCTTCCCATTATTTGTCTGTAGAGCAAGAACGGGTAGACGGAACTGAGTGTGGACGTATGCCAAGAATGCGCGTACGGTGGGTAGGACCTCAGACTTTTGCCGCAGAGGGAATGTCCAGAGGTAGTGCATGAAATCATCAAGCACATCAAGGTAGAATTTGTAGCCGGAATGACTGACAACAGGTGATGTCCAAACATCTGAATGTATTAACTGAAAGGGAAAATATGTATGTGATGTAGAGTCATTGAAAGGTAGACGAACATGTTTACCCAATCGACATGAAGAACAAGAGTGTGCCACTGATTTATTACAATTGAAATCAAAACTAGCTAAAACTTGAGAAAGAACATGATGTCCGGGATGGCCGAGGCGCTGGTGCCACAAGGC